AACTCTTTTCTTCTTTCTTGGCCTCTGTTAGTTCGGATTTCGTAAATGAACTTATGGAGGAACGACAAAGACAGCATCTTTCCTTTTCACTATTTAAAAGCCATCCACGAGCACAATTTTTATGGAATTCTGGACATAAAATCACAGAATAGTAAATTAAAATAGTCATGATATACTTTTTAATTATATATATAAATGTATACATCAATCGAAATAAAATTTTAAATGTCAATGGAGAAAGCATATTACTTTGCAGAAAATGTACAAGGCAAACAAACCTGTATTTATGATAACTATATATTACGAATATTTTAAGGCACAATTTTGAGAATATGCCAAATCGTTATTAAAATATTAAATCGTTAACGCCAAAATTTTTAATTTACAGGAACAATTAGCCATTTTGACTTGTTTTAATTAACGCAAATAAGTGGCAAATATTTCATGCATATTATGGACTAGAACAAAACATTTTATAGGTAGGTTTTGCATTTTATTGAACCTATATGCTGAGAGTACCATGAGATGCGCACGCAGATCGTAGAGGTCACTAGTGTATTTGGTCTTGTGAGGTCAAGTCATGGAATTTATCCCTCTTATGTTTATTTGAAAATAATGGATATCTTAATTGTTTTTAACTGGAAATTAATATATTTGTGACATTTGGAATACAAACTTTACGATTTGATATAGTTTTTCGATGGATTAATATTCTAACGATGTAGCTTGTGATGGATAATTTGTCACGTTGTCGTGAAGGACGGAAATTTCGACTGCCTTTGGAAAACCCAAGATATCTTTTGGAAACTGACAGAAATATTGTCTTACAACAGGTCACCGACGAACGTTAAACATGCAGAGAGTGTAACATTCTCTCTTTACACAATGATACAATTAAAACGCCTAATTTTGAAAGGACATGGCTGTGTATTTATACATTCTGCACAACCAAACGGACTTTAGTTGAGTTGTACTGCCAAATGGGAAAAATGTTTGTCATATTGCTATACCCCCAGATAAATCTTTGGGTATTTTAATAGCCAAAACAGCCTGATATATAAAATAGTTGTGACTTATATTGTATAATTACTCTTTATTCTAGAATAACAGTCCTTAATTTCTTAAAAATAGTTCACATAGTGATGATACCTTGTACGCCTGTGTAAGAACAAGAAGCTCCTAAGAGCCTGTATCACTCACCTGGTACAAAATATGCTAATTTTGATATTTATTGTTTTCCTTCATTGCAATCAGTTATGTTTGCTTATTTGGTGATCTTGTTTAGTGGCATTTTTGTAAGTCTTGTATTGATAATTATCTTTACTGTTTACAGTTTAAAGTCTTTTGAAGTTTTTGGGATACGAAAGACGTCATCTAATGGCAATAAATCCTATAACTAGTGTACGTGACAATTTGACCATGTTTGCTGTTCTGTTTTGCTTTTTAAAGTTTCTCTCTTACTTTAATAGTTTTTGACAAAAATGCAAAAAGTGATAAAAATCATCATTCAGAAGAAATAACTTCCATAAGGAGTCGATTGACAATGTTTGTCATAACGACTGATAATAGTTTGTGCTGAAACTACAAAAAATGGTAAAATCATCTGTTAAGGGCAATAACTCCTCTCCGTGTTAATTGACTATTTCGAACATGTTGACTTATTTATAGAGATCTTATTTTGCTGAACATGTTTGCTATATATTGATGCTCTCTATCTATCTTTGTTTTTGAAAAAAAAAAATCCTAAATTGGTAAAAATGGTCATTCAAAGGCAATAACGCTTTCAAAATATGAGTAGGTTGGCAATTTCGGCCATGTTGACTTAATTGTAGATTTTATTGTGCTTTAGATTTTCGTTAATTATATCTATAATGGCTTCTGCAAAAGATAAAACCATCTTTCAAGAGCAATAACTGTTATAAGCGGTCATTTGACAATTTTGGCCAAGATGATGGTATATATGATGAGTTTATTAACAATCACTGGGTCGATGCTAATGCTGGTGGAGGTTTCCTCCCCGAAGGTATCTTCAGCCCAGTAGTCAGCACTTCTTTGTTGACATGAATTATCATTATTATGGTCAAAATTTAAAAATTAACTGTTTACAAAACATTGAATTTTTCGAAATACAAGGAATGTTCTACCCCATGAAAAGACAACCTAAGCTGTATTTGGTAAAACCTTTCGGAATTTTGTATCCTCAATGCTCTTCAACATCGTACTTTATTTGGCTTTTTAAATTGTTTTGGTTCGAGCATCACTGATAAATCTTTTGTAGACGAAACGCGCTTCTTGGGTACAAATTTTAAGCCTGGTATCTCTGATGAGTGTACTTACAGTTTCTGTAAAAAAAACTCAAACAATGACAATAACTCGTATATGGGGTAAACAAAACTATAAAAAAAATCAAAGGGGAAGTCCATACAAACTGACAAAATCAAACGATATCAACCAACGGAACGAATGGAAAACAACTTTTATATTATAGACATGGCACAGGCATATTCCGAAGAAAATGGTTGATTCAACCTTGTTTTATAGCTAGCTAAACTTTCCACTTGTATGACATTTGTTTAAAGTTCCGTTATTTTGATAACATTGGTTGAGCAACCCAAACAGGCATAATAAGTTAATGTGACAATAATTGGGACATTCAAACTCATAAGTCGAAAATAAACTGACAACGCACTTGTACCAGGAACGCCCAAAGTAAAAACCCGATAGCTGGATGCATAAATACCGAGTCACGCCAGGAATTATTCTACCAAAAGGAACATAATAGCACGAATACAAATAAAGGGAAAACTGTATTGTAAATATAAAATGTACAAAGATACACAACTTCAGTACCAAGAATTCGTCCACGTTGAATTGACGATTCGTCCATGTTGACTTGTGTATCATATATTGTTGAACATTTTTACTGTCAAAAGATTATCTCGATCAACTAGAGTGTTATTAAAAAAGAATGGCAAAAGGGTAAAAATAAATATTTAAAGGCAATAACTCCTTTTTGGGGTCATTTGACGATTTCTACCAAGTATGATTTAATGTAGATCTTATGGTTGTGGTCGTTTTTACCGTTTAAAAAATCTCTATATTTGTTATAGTTTTGAAGATAATAACCAAAATTTTCCAAATTTGCAAAAAATAATATTTCAGAGACAATAACTCCAAAATTGATTGTCCGATTTTCTGGAAATTTATAAAGACATAGTCATTAACCTGCTGATCAATCTTATCCTATGTCAGATTTTCTTTAACTTTTTTTTTTAGATATCAGCCAAAAACTTTGAATTTTCCCCTGTTCTATTTTTAGAAACAGTGGCCAAGGCGAAGATTTTATTAATATTTTACGACAACGGACAGATGCGTTGAATAGAATTTGCGCGTTGCAACTTACGCCGCCGGATACAGTTTGTAGAAATGCAAAAGAAACCAAAGGGATATTCAAACTAATAAGTCGAATACGGTTACATACAGACACCTCATAAAGTTATTTCAGTCTTCTTTTAACTTGAAGAGAGTTTGGCACACACAATTTAATGCGGCATCAGATTTTACGTCCCCATTCCAACCGGACTTGGCTGTGTATTTATACATCCCATATAACCAAACGAACGTCCCACTGTAGCAAGGGGTGATTGTCAGACTGGAAGTCCGAGGATGACCATATGTTTATACATCAGTCAACCCTTTGGGTTTTTTACAATGTAGATATTGTTAAAATATCAGCCGCAAATTAACGATATAAAGCTATTTTTGTAAGTGAGCTTGAAAATTTGATTGATTTTGTGTTCGAGAGGCTGATATCGATAAAGTATAGGCTTTCTGAGTATGATATCTGCGGTTAGTCCTACATTAAGATTTTTAAGAGTGAGTGCAGCGAACATATTAATATAAAATTATGTTGAGCGTCTGATACTTTACAATATCTATAAATTAAAAGCTGTTAATTTGTTAACAGTGTTGATTTCAGATTTTTCTTGACCCGAAACATAGTTCTTTTAAACATTTTTGAAAATTCGCTATTGATTCGGGTCTAAACTGATATCGTCCAATCAATGCAGTATGGCGACGTATACTCTATCGTTAATTCAACTTCTCAACTTGACGAACCGTGGTCATGGATTATCTGAAGAACTGATATACACATAGAGAAATTCGATCATTTAGAATATTTAAGTTTTTGAAAACTGGACTCATGGGACTTAAAATCGGACATTTTCATATGATTTGTATTAAACTCAATGTGCTATCCATTGTGCACAGTTTCACTTTAAATGCAGAATCTGATAACGGTGAAGTAAGTCACGTCTAATGGCCTTGCCATCTTCGAATTATTAAATAGGAGTTGAATTTAAAAAAGTACCTACATCGACTGACGGGAAATTTTAACCCGTTCCAATTTTGTCACTTTTAATTTACACGAAAATATCATTTTTTATCTTTTAAAACACGATAGAACTATAAAAAAAAAAGATGATACGACATTATTCTTTTTATTTTTCTTGATTCCAGTATCTTAGCAGTATTATTTTTCTCTTCCATAAAACTTGATATTTCATTTTTTGTTCAATCAACTACTTAAATCCGCCCAACATTTCTGCGGGCCTCCTAACCTGGTCCGAAATGTACTATGGTTATATACAATGATAATCAGCATCTAACCAGTATAAAAAAAGAGGGAGATACATGCATGTACATTTCAAGTTCATCTATAAAAACAATATACACTATACATACTGTGATTACAAAATAAAGTAACTACAGGATTATTTCTACTGTACACTTTACATACCGTGATTACAAAATAAAGTTACTACAGACTCACTTCTACTGTACACTATACATACCGTGATTACAAAATAAAGTTACTACAAGCTCACTTCTACTGTACACTATTCATACCGTGATTACAAAATAAAGTAACTACAGGATTATTTCTACTGTACACTATACATACCGTGATTACAAAATAAAATTACTACAGACTCACTTCTACTGTACACTATACATACCGTGATTACAAAATAAAGTTACTACAGACTCACTTCTAATGTACACTATACATACCGTGATTACAAAATAAAGTTACTACAGGCTCACTTCTACCATACACTATTCATACCGTGATTACAAAATAGTATCTACAGGCTTACTTCTACTGTACACTATGCATACCGTGATTACAAAATAAAGTTACTACAGACTCACTTCTACTGTACACTATACATACCGTGATTACAAAATAAAGTTACTACAGACTCACTTCTACTGTACACTATTCTTACCGTGATTACAAAATAGTATCTACAGGCTTACTTATACTGTACACTATACATACCGTGATTACAAAATAAAGTTACTACAGGCTCACTTCTACTGTCCTTCTGCTTTAAACATATTGCGCAGTCCGAACCTTAACCGATAAAAAGAAATCGAACTATATAATTTTTATCATACAAATATCTTAATAAGTAAAAACAACATAAATTTAAACAAAATAAATCAAAAGAGGAGAAGAGTCCAAAAAACTATACTGTTTTCATTCCTGATTATACAAATAGAACCTGACTTGTGCCTCTCGGCTGTATATAAAGTTCAAATGTTGTTTTTAATACTATGAAATAAACCTTAATGTCTAATTTTTTATTTACGTTTTCATGTTAAAAATACTTTAAATAGTTATTTTATCAAAGCCTTGTTTCGTTAATTTAATTGTGTGATATATTGGTATAATATAATACTTTCTCATATTGTAGGGAATCCTGAATATTCACTTTCTATAATTTCAATCGGCTAAATATGTTTTTGTGATTGTCTCTAGTTATCAGATAATTGTCTTTTATTTATTTCTAGCTTTTATTGTAGTTTACTTAAGTTAGACCTCCTGTCGTTTCTCGTTTGATGTGCTGATCATCTGTTTATAGACATTTTTAGAGCTTGTCATTCGTTATGGATGTGTGTTCACTATTATAGACCATGCGATGACCTTTAGATGTTCAACCTTGATTTTAGGTGACCACATCTGATTTTTATATAATTTTGATAGGTGAACATCTTTTCTTAAATAATATTGTTCCACGGAATTTATTTTCAGCCATTGACTAGAGATATACATAGATATAGGAAGATGTGGTATGAGTGCCAATGAGACAACTCTCCAGTCAAGTTACAATTTATAAAAGTGAACCATTATAGGTCAAGGTACGGCCTTCAACACGGAGCATTGGCTCACACCGAACAGCAAGCTATAAAGGGCCCCAAAAAAATTACTAGTGTAAAACCATTCAAACGGAAAAACCAACGGTCTAATCTATATAAAAACGAGAAACGAGAAACACGTATGAACTACATAAACAGACGACAACTACTGTAATTAGATTCCTGACTTAGGACAGGTGCAAACATTTGCAGCGGGATTAAACGTTTTAATGGTACCAAACCTTCTCCCTTTTCTGAAACAATAGTATAACATCACAACATAGAAAAACACACTATAAAATATCAATTGGAAGGCTTAACTCAAAAACTTAAAAACGTAAATTAACACATAATGAACGTGTATATATATAAATATTTACCACCAAGAATCACAATAGGTTTATATTTATTGCTATCCCAATCATCTGATTGTTTTCTGTTGAAATCCTGCAATAATAAATTAACGATTGTACCACCACCTGATAAATATATTTCAAATACATTTCTTGTATACCTTGATCACTTTGTCTTCGTTTTTGTATTTATTTCTCTGTTTATAATCACCAGATTTTTTTTGGTGAAAATTATTATTCTCCCTTTATCTTTTTTATCACTCCTACGATTAACAAGTTACAATAATGCTGTCATTTCTTGCTGATAAAACTACCTCAAAGTGCATTTCAAACATAACTCTACATTCATATCCATAGTATTTCTAAAGTCTACGCTTTTGCAGACATAATTTTAAATAGAAATACAGATTAATATTCGCGTATACATTCATGCAATGCCCATATATGACAAACCTACGAAGGACCGGTTTATAGGCACATTCTGTTGTTTACATTTATCATTTCGATGTTGTCATTTCTCAGTTTCAAGTTGATATTTTTCAGTTCAAAGTTGACATCTCGCAATTCCATCTTGGAAATGAGAAAAACAACAGAATGTTCCCACCAGTCTTTCGTACAAACCTGGGTTGCGTTCAATATCGTAGCGGCTACATAGGGCTACGTAGATTTATGACTATTGAACGTGTAGCTAGCCTAGCTGCTACATAGATATTGATAGCAGCTAGGCTAGCTACTCGTTCAATAGTCATAAATCTACGTAGCACTACGTAGCCGCTACGATATTGAACGCAACCATGATCTCATTTTGACTAAGGATACATGTACAACTGTTATATATACTGTCAGATGCAGGATATTTTCTTTATTTTTCAAATGACCTGACATAATTTGAAAACAACTAAATGGGTTATTGAATACAACTGTAAAGTGTTTTGTACAAAAATACACACAGACATCTGTATGTCAGCACATTATCTGAAAGGATGGTTAAAAAACTGAATAAAAAACTGTAACTTTAATATTTTTTTAGTCCATATGATCGGCTTTATGTATTGTACGGAAACAAACGTACGGAAAGAAATATATTTACATGGAAATTATGAGATTAGTTGAACGCAGGATTTTTAGTATCAACATTATACGATTATGCATTATTTTCTATTACGAAACCGGGTTCTGCTTTGTGAAATTTTAGGACGAAACCGGGTCGTACGCATTGACAAAACCGGGTACTTTTTTACATGACCCAATTCATTCGTTCCATGCATAGAAATACAAATATTGAGGTGCTCAAAGTGACTAACCTTTCAATGGCCATGTATATATCGTTCTTTTCGTACAATTTGCACAATTTAATGAGAAATTAAACAAATTCGAGGCAAGGTTCACCCTAGTCATCATTATGACGTGCATCTTTACTAATTTCTCTATTTATCTAGAAAATTTGTAGCAAATATTACGTTTCACAATCGAAAATAGTTATATGTGTATTTATATTCTTTAATGTCCTACAAGTAACAAATATATAAACAGAAATCCTACATTTTCTCTGTCTGTATTTGGTCCGTCACCGTACCGTACCGAATATGAGATACTATCGAGACCAAACTTTTTTGCCGGGATACTTTGAACACATAGCATTTATAAACTCATTTATCGAATTGTTTTATGGAAAGTTGGAATTTAGCAACAACATGACGAAAACAAATAAAATTGAACATGACGAAAACAAACATATTTTACATCTATATTGTCATGAACAATGGTCTGTTTATGTTCTCACCTGATATTGAAAATAGAAATATACGACAGATAATCCGAAAAATACGCATCCAGTGCCAAGTCCAATGGAAACTTTAATTATATACTCTATTGTGAATTTTTCATTCTTATTTCTGAAATAAAGAACATGATTGTTAGAGGAATTGGCTTGTTTGTTGTTTCCTTGTATAGGTTCGCACAACAGTGATCCGTATATGTAACATTACTAAACATCATTTTCAAGAACATTCGAATCTTTATAAAACTTATGAAATTCAAAATTGTATGGGTGAATGGGATTTTTAATACATTTCAGACCACTGATGGTGTTCGTACTGTTAAAAGATATCCGCACATAAGTATACAATATGAAATTATACTCAATAAAATATGACAAAGTTGGTAAAATTAAGACACTGGCTATTGATATATTATAAGTAGCTTTAGACTAACAGGTCATAGTGTGCAATCTTGACCAGACATGACTGGACTCTTGGGCTTGATTAATAAACGTAACTCGGTGATCTGAAGACTGCAGATCAAAATTTTGATTTCTCAGTTCAAAACATAAAAGGTTGTGATCAGTTCTTTTGATGGCATCTTTTAAAATATTAATGGGACAATCAAAATCCATAACTCAAAGAAAAGTAGACAGCACCATGGTAAAAAAGTAAAAACAGACGAATAGACAACCAAGTTCACAAACAATATACAAAAACTAAAGACTTAGCAGCAGAAACCCCACTTAAAACAGAAAATAAATTATTGTGCTCCGGAGGAGTAAACAGCACCTACTAACAAGTGTTTTTTCTTCTTAAGAGGAATTGCAACAACAACATCAGATCTAATATCAAGAGATTGAACATAAAATTGTCTAACTAATATCCATCTTGAACTGCCATGTAAATATTACAGCAACGATGTTATCATCGGTAATGAATAGACTCAAAAGATTTCAACTTCTACTTTAAGCTTTGCATTACGAAGAGAGAAGTCGGTGACTTTTTGTGACTCTTTATAAATAAATTATCAGGAGGAGGTTTACAACAGTAAGATCAGCTTACGAAGACACTAAAATAGAATTACTAATATAATCGAAAAATGATAAAATCAAATGCAAATTAGGGCTCCGCAAGCTGCACATTTACGAAGAGAAAGATTTGTGGTTTCGATATGCTCATAGCGAATCACAGATATCTATTTCAATTTTAAATTGCAGTAAAAAAAATCACGATGGAAATATGATTTTCAATTATAGATATACACAAATCAGCAAATTTTCTAATTGTACACTTACATAGAAGTGTTACCATTTATCAGCAAAAAGTTCAGATTTTGGCAATAAAATAAAAGCCATTCATATTGCCATACAGTACCGATTTGATGACAGAAATATAGACACAATTAAGATTTCATTTCAAATTCATAACTACAAAACAACTTCTGAAAGTGTTACTGCATCTGGTAAATCTGAGAAAATGACACTTTTCCTATTTTATCAAAACTAATTGATCTTTTTAGAACAAAAGAAAAGATAAAATATTTATTTATTACTTCTATGTAAATGAGATGTAATCCTATTAGTCAAAATGTCGCAAAAGCTTTTGAAACAATGCATTCTTAGTAAAATTAAAATATTGCTAATATTCCAATGAAATTGGTACATGCCGAAGTCGGGCAAACTGAAGATAATTCAGATTAAGAGATCGAAGGCACTGGACGTTGGAGTACATTAAGCTTACAGCGACGGATGTAAGGGGGTTGCATGGGTGCCCGCCCCATTATGGAGCTACATTTATGGTTAATGCAGACTTTTTACCTGTTCTACTTCAATAGTTGCCTAGTTTACGGGCCCCGGGTCCCCCTTTTTCATATCCTGGATCCACATCTGTCTTATACAAGACTCGTTATAATCTTGATAATACTGTTGTTAATAGCAAAGATTGAGAGCAAATATTTGCAATTAGAAAATATTTATTCAGTCGAAATGTTAAGTTTCATAAAAGAACCTATAATAATATACACCACATTTATAATGTATTGCAGTCTAAGCAATCTGGTAATGTGGAAATAGATTTTTTATTGTCCAACAACAAGGTTGTCGGGGCCATATATAGTTTTACCCTTATCCGTCATTCCGTCATTCAGCTACGAACAGTTATACGGCCTTTTTTTCTAAAAGCCTTCACATATTGAGCTGATGTTTAGTATGATGTGAGTCTACTATGATGAGTTACAGTTTGAGTTTACGTCTGGTTCCACTCCACTGATTTGTGTCGAAATTACGGGCTTTGGACTTTGAAAATTTCGTGAAAATAACAGTTATACGGACTTTCATTCTCAAATTTCCACTCATAAAAATGGCTTCAAGCTTTTTATGCAGGCGGGGCCATTTGTGTCGTTCCGACACATCTTGTTTTTTAATGGTATGCAAAATGATCCGATATTAAAGGTACAAATAAGAGTGTTTTCCCATTCATACAACTTTATTTTGCTTTGCAAATTAATATGGAATTAAATAATGTAAACATGAAAATGAATAATACAATATTAAACTTTTTAGACAACAGATTACAGATGGTCAACATAATATTGGTTCAAAGATTTAAATCTCATACTAAATAAACATGTTCCGTTTTATCAGAAATAATAGATGTACGAATATTAACAAGACCAACCATGGGCATTACCAATAATGGCTAACATAACACGAAACAACAGGCTGTCCTGTCTGTCAAATTTCAAGTTGGATGGAGAAATAAAAATTCTATGTTTGGTCCCTAAATTAGAATAATTTGTTAATTATACATTTACACTTGATAAACATTTAGTCCTAAAATGTTTCCGGATTCTATATATAGTGTAATAAAATAAATTCAATCTTACCTTATCTTCAAAATCATACATGTACACATAATTAACACAATCAAAGATATTATTAACCCCAGTGCAACTAGTATATCCCAACATGCTTTGTACTTAGCCATAGGTAATAATTTGGATCCAATCGCTTGTCTTTCCTCCTTTCAATCGCGATGACACACATAGATAACAAAATTTAAATTCTTATCAGAAATACACAGCATACTTCTACCTATCTTCTATATGATGAATACTTTGTCACTAACCTAAAGCCTCTCTCAGGAAATATCTCATTTCAATGGAAGCGATATTAAGAGTGGAGGCTAGGGAAAGCCGCGTGAGTTTCATATATGAAAGCATTAAATTGTAGAAGAAATTATATAACAAAAGACGAACTATAACATTTTTAAGTTGCAAATATTTTTATGATAGTTTTATAACTTTAACATAAATAAACTCAACTCAAATTCTTTTTAGTTTTAATACTCTCGACTCGTCTGTTCAAATCTTCTACTTTCCTTTACGATATCTTCTAACATCATTTATACCCATGGGGAAAATATTCTGCAAGAAAGTGTCCGAATAGGTCTACCTTTGAAGGCTCTATGGGGAGCAAATTTACACGGGATATTCATATCTCAAAGCAAAAAAAGTATAAGTAGATCCTTATTTTAATACTAAATCCGTTCGATGTGTACTTATTGGCGAGTCTGTAATTCATTGGTTGTTTTTCTTCAAGTCCGTCATATTGTTTTTCGTTTTTTTGTTTACTTAAATCAGGCCTTTGATTTAATCGTTTGAATATGTTTTACATTTTGTCATGTTGTGGGTTTTTTATAGCTGACTATAAGGTATGGGTTTTGTTCATTGTCGAAGTCCGTATGGTGACCTATAGTTGCTTATTACATCCGCGCCATTTGGACTGGTAGATAGTTGTCTCATAGGCATTCATACCACATCTCCTTATATTTATAGTGTATGGTTTCTAAAAAAGAGTCGTCCTGAACATGCATGAAATATTTGCTACTGGGCGTTAAGCAACCAACAATCAATCAATCTAAAAAAAAATTATGAATTCAACTTACGCATAATATTGACTTCTCTTATACTGAGTTTTACTGTGCGTACTGTTGTGCGTTTGTTTTTACTACATTGGCTAGAGGTATAGGGGGAGGGTTGAGATCTCAAAAAACATGTTTAACCCCGCCGCATTTTTGCGCCTGTCCCAAGTCAGGAGCCTCTGGCCTTTGTTAGTCTTGTATCATTTTTAATTTTAGTTTCCTGTGTATAATTTGGAGTTTAGTATGACGTCCATTATCACTGAACTAGTATACATATTTGTTTAGGGGCCAGCTGAAGGACGCCTCCGGGTGCAGGAGTTTCTCGCTGCATTGAAGACCCATTGGTGGCTTTCGGCTGTTGTCTGCTCTATGGTCGGGTCGTTGTCTCTTTGACACATTCCCCATTTCCATTCTCAATTTTAGATATATAACGACTTCATAATATTAGTTCCAGGTTCAAAAGATTTTCTTCTCCTTGTTTATATAAAATATTTCTATGGTTAAGAATTAAAACAGTCAATGTAAACGTAATTTTCTGCATTTGAAATTGTTTTGTTTAATGGATAATTTATATTTGACTTGAAAATCGTGATTGATCGATTGATAACTGCATGCTTAACATCTAGCGGCAATTATTAAATACATGTCCAGGATTGATAGTATACATGTGAATGAGATATGAATACGCCTTGCTTTGTACAAGACCGACCCTTTGCGTCGGATTTTAACGTGCTAGCTGACAGGGTAACAGTCAACAGGAACCCCCTACCCAAACATATTATTTTGAATCTGGACCAACCCATCTCTTACTCCTAAATGCAATGTGCTTTGCGGAGAAGCAGCCAGCAGATACAAATTGTTCAGTGGCCTTTAAGAAATATATTATAAGTATATATACATGTATGATATGTCCTAACTCAAGATTTCTTCGGTGATTCATCCAAGAGGTAATTTTGCACAATGAAATATCAATTTTAAATTTTAAAAATTTGAAGTCTTGAAATAAAATTGCGTTTAAGACGTCGCCATAAACAAAACCAGTAACAACGGGAATTGCTGTGAAGATTTTAAAGGTGAATAGCAGCAAAATAAATTTTATTTCTTTATCATACCACGGTAGGTATAGTGTCCGGCTAGGATCGTGGTTTATCGAGTGAATCGGTACATTTTTTTCG